CTGATGGCCAGGACCCTGTGGCCAACCCGTACCTCCATGCCACCGAGAAGCAGGACGATGCGTTCGTGAAGCGCGAGGGGCCGACGGCGGGCAGCGGGGGCGACACAGACCCAGGGGTGGGCCCGGCCCTGCGGCGGGGTTGGGAGGAGTTGAAGGTTGGCGGCGGCAAGGCGCCCTGGGTGGACACGCAGGTGGGGAACGAGGGGGCTGCTGCTATTGTCAAGGGTCGGTGACGGGGCGGGAGTCGGGTGTGACTGTCTGGATGGGTTGGAGCTTGTGTTGCCTGTGGTTCTGGGGCGCGCAGCTGGGTGGATGGTGGATGGCATTATGGTGGTGCTGAGGATGTTCTGCATCCTTCGCCCAAGTGGCGCGTGCGTCTACCCTCCGTATCACCCCATTCTTTTGGCACCTGCCACCTGTGCTTACACACCCCAGTTGACCCGCCCACATCGTCCGTCTCCCCCCACCCACCCTGCACACGCCGACGCTCACGCAACACCAAAAGGGTGAGACGGCGGCCCCCCAGGACGTGACGAGCAACGTGGAGCGCTCCCGCCACCTGGAGGACTCCCAGCAGAAGCGCATCTACGAGGGAGAGGTGCGTGGCCGTTTTTCATTGCAAGCGTCACCAGACGCCCGAATCTTGCAACAGTCAGGCCGAGTGTTGACATCACCCTCCGCAGCACTCGCGCTATGTGTTGCGAACCGCGGCGTGGTGGCGATGGCCTTGTGATTTCTGGGCGACAAGGGGGGGGAACCCAGGGGTCCCAGGGCAACGTGTGTAGGGTGGGGTCTTGGGGTTTTGTGGGAGATACGTACAAAGGCATACTTTGCCTGGCTGGGGAGGGTGTCTCAACGAGCTGATTGCGTCGCCTGGCAGTGATGCGATGACTTTGGCTGCGCCAGGGCGTGGCATCTGAATGCTGTAGAACTGGTTGGTCAAGCCCCTATCGAAGGTGTGTGTGTGTGTGGGGGGGGCTGGCCAAGCAAGACAGGAGGGAACGCGGGTACCCAGCGATGGGCCGGGGGAGAGAACCGCGCTGGATGCAGGCTTGTGCCTTTAATATGGCAACAGCCGCGCGGATGTGGGATCGCCCCTGGTGGCACGTGGATGCTTTGCTGTGCCGGGAGGCGCGTCGGCGCTTGCTCCACGCGGGCCGCAAGGGCAGGGTCGCCTGTAGAATTGCTTCCACGCGACCCCGTCCCTGTGGCTCGCGCTGGCGGGAACCACATGGGGTGGTGTTGCGCTGACCACCAAGTAAAGCGCGCAGCGCCCACCATCAAGACACATGTCACAGGGTGCATCATGGCGGTGCCGCGGCATCTCACGTACTAACATTGCGATTTCCTCGTGCCCGTTCCTTCCTAAACCTACATTTCTTCCGAACCCCCCTCCCCCCCCCACACACACACACATGCTCCCACACAGCATCTACACACTCGCAGGCATACACACATACGCACACACACACTCCCACACGCACACATCAACACACACACACACACACCAACACACACACACACACAACCCCAAGGTGTATCACGCCAAGCCGGCTCCGGCCTCCTCTGCTGCGGACGACCAGGCGGTCACAGACCAGGCCAAGGCTGAGAGGGGCCAGGACACCGCCACCGCCAGCGAGGCGGTGGCCGGGGACAAGAAGCAGTACACGGGTGCGAGGATGGTGCCTACTCGGGGTGGGCTGGAGGGCGGGCCGGGGGATTGGGCTGAAGGGGGGGTTCAGGGGAGCACGCTTGTGCAGAAACAGGCGGTGATAGTGCGGCCGGGCGCAAGGGACGGGTGTGAGTGGGCGCAGCAGGGAAGCAGTATTGAGATTATACGCGGGGCACGCGCGCGCATGGGGTTGGGACAAGGCGTGTGCAAGCAGTTCTTGGCTGTTGTGCATCTGCTTGGAGTGAGTGTGGGGGGGTTCAAACTTTGCAGTGGGGCTTTGCTAGAAGGCGGCGGCCTGGGTGTTGGCGGTGTGCAATACCTGAACCTCTGTCGACTGCGCGGGTGGTCAGGAATAGGGCAGGGGTTGGGCGTTGCAGTGCACAAGCCCGATCAATTGTATAGGCGCCATTGGCTGGGGCTGGTGAGTTTGCCACAGATCGCCCACGCACCTGCACCAGCCACGCGCACAGCGTCTCGCAATTATCACCTGTGGCCACCCTCACGTTGGAGCAGCCGCACACCGCACCTGCTGGATGCGATCTGTACTGTGCAGCAGACCCTGGTCCCGTGGCTGCCCTCCGTGTTTCCACCTGCCCGCCGCAGGCTATCCACACCGCATTGCACCCCGCCCCCTCGCTGCCTCAAAATCGTGCTTCGCGTTGCACCGCCGCCCTCCCAAATTTCAACCAATCCAAAGCTTTCCCCACCCTCCGTCCTTGATTCCACCTAATGAGCCGTCAGCTTTTTGTCCCACGAGGCCCACGAAGAATTGTTTTTCTCCCTGTGTGCACATTGAAGCCGCTGCTCCCCCTCCCACACCCCTCCTCTCACACACACGCAAGTTTTCCTGCCCCTCCCCGCCCCACAGGCACTACGCCCCACCCGCGCCCCGAGGGCGCGAAGCAGCACGGGCCAGACCGCTTCGGCGCTGGCGGCGGGGGCATCTTTGGCACCATTGGCACCGGAAGGTGTGCAAGCGGGCGCGGCGGTTGCGAGTGTCTGATGTGTATTGCGGCATCGTGGTCCGTGTGCAGCCCTGTTCTTGGATGGCACTGGTTTTGCTGGCATCGTCCCCTCTCATTTGTCGTGGAGGACGCACCGCATGACAAATGGTTGGGGATGATTGCGTGCCCCTTGTTGCATGTTGCAGCAATTTTTTGCCACATCATCATCCCACCCGCAAGCCCACCACCAACCTTCCCCCACCCCAAGCCGCACCAGCTTGCACTCACCCCTCACCACTCACTGCCCCACCAACCCCTCACCCCACCGCCGTGGAACACACTTTCGTCACCCTCATCAGCGCCGCGCCCTACCAGGGTGATGACAGCGTGAAGCGCGCCGCCGCCGCCTTCTTCGCCGCCAGCGGCGCCGCGGGCGGCGCACCGCTGCAGGCCATCGTCGACGCGCAGGTGCGTGGGGGGGCGACTGGGGGCTCGTGGTTTTGAAACTCACCTGATATCCATGGATAAAGGGATGTGCGTGGACGGCAGTAATGTGGTTACCTGTTCTCCCTGTCACGTGGCGGAGAGTCTTTTGCCACCTTCAGAGCCCTCCTCTCCGTCACGTGGTGGAGAGTCTTTTGCCACCTTCAGAGCCCTCCTCTCCGTCACGTGGTGGAGAGTCTTTTGCCACCTTCAGAGCCCTTCTCTCCCGCACTCAACCCGCCAGCCAGCCAGCCAGCCAGCCAGCACTCTCCACCCCCATCCCCCAAACATGCAGCCAGCCCTCCTATCCACCACCACCTG